GCAGTCAGTGCTGAAGGTAGGGTGTAAAGGCTGTGAACCAATCACAGGCTAGCAACTTCTCTTCAAAAGAACCCCAAAAGATAAACTTCAGACCCAGGGTCCATAGTTTCTGCTTTGGGAATCCCTGACAGCAGGTGTCCTCACAGAGCCTGGTCAGGCAACTCCTTTCTTGACTGCCATGGAAACCCTTTTAGGAGACTCTCTTCCACCAGGAATGATTTGCCTGGCTCTGAGTAAACAAACGGAAGCCCAGCTTCTCTCTATTTAGCCCTACCTCGTTCTCCGTTCCCACCCACGCTTTTGGAGCAGTCTCTCAGCTGACTGGGTATGAGGCCTCCTCCTCCTTTCTCAGATCTCTCCTGCTCAACAGAGATCCAACCCTCTTCCCCTCCTGTTGCTGCAACTTCCCCCTTCCAGAACAACGACAGGGCGCTCCACATCTGGTGGCAGTGAGCTCCACTTCCAGCTCCAGCCAGACCAGAATGCTGCTGTTTCATCTGCCTTCTGCCCTCCCCAGGACAGCGAGGAGCAGGAAACCCCTAAGAAGCAGCTGTAGGAGAGAGAGGAACTCTGCCCCCCTCCCCAGAGCCGGAGTGACAGTCAGTGATTAAAGGTGCCTGCCTTTAACACAAGCACGACTTCTCAGGAAAGGAAATGCTGGGGTAGGCAGAGGTTAGGGGACTCAGTGTGTGCAGAGGGGTCGGCATATTTTCAAATGCTGTCCTTGCAGCAAAGATCAACAGAATGCAAAGAGGACAGATAAAACAGCATTAGCCTTTCACTGCATAGTGGGAAATCCCCAAATACCTCCTAGCTCCAGAAGTAAAATATAAACCAGTGGCAACAAACTATGGTTGTGCGGCTTCTCCTCAGGCCAGAAAGGCTGAGAAAGTAACCCAACAAAAGTAAAGCCCAGTTTGCTATTTCCCGTCTAAAACATATACCCTAATACTCAGGCCGTCCATCTGTGCTGCTACCTGCTACCCTACCAGGCACAAATCACTGCTAAATGATCTACCCAACAAGGCACTAGACCCACACGGACAAGGTAGGACTTCTCCACGTGTGCTTGCCTTACAGGTGACACAGTTCACTGTCTGCTCCACTAAGCACACACATGTGAGGGCCTGGGAAACAAGAGACGGTTTTCTGCAAGGGGAGGCCCAGTTTCCATGCCCAGAGCCCTATGTCACCCTGATTCCATCTTAACTTTCAAAAAAAAAAAAAAAAGCCACAACAACCTGGGCAGCCGGTTCTCCCAGTCTGCCCGCCTGCACTCCTGCAGAGGTACTTTAGCTCTCCCAGGCTGCCCACCTGCACCCCTGCAGAGGTACTTTGGTACTTTATATTCCTGCCTCACCCTGTCAAAGCTCACTTAACCTCTTCTCTGGTCTCCACTCCATCCTGGAGCTCAGGAGACATCCCTGACTTTAGCTGCCTCACCCAAGGACCACCACAGATCTAGAGTTCTAGAATGTTCCTCCTTGGGCTCTAAAATCCCTCTTGTGGGGCTTTCTCTTTGCCTGTGTGCGTGTGTGCGCACGTGTGTGTGTTGGGGGACGGGAGTACACAAGTGAGCACGTGTGTGGAAGCCAGGATTCAACCTTGGGTGTCATTCCTGGTCCACCTTTTGTTCTGCTTGGGTTTAGTTTTTCTGAGTGTCTCACTGGTCAGGCCAGGCTGTCTGACTTCAAGTCCCAGGGATCTACATGTTGCCATGTTCCCATTGCTGATACTGCAAGTACACGACGCCATGTACAGTTTCCTTCCTTCTTTCCTTCCTTCCTTCCTCCCTCCCTCCCTCCTTCCCTCCTTCCTTCCTTTTTTGGTTTTTCAAGACAGGGTTTCTCTGTATAACAGTTCTGAAACTCACTCTGTAGACCAGGCTGGCCTCAAACCCACAGAGATCCACCTAAATCTTTCTCCCAAGTGCTGGGATTAAAGGTGTGTGCAATTCGCCCTGCCAGTATTTTTTTTCTTAAAACGTAAGTTCTGGGACTTGAACTCAGGGTGTCTTACTTGCAAGGCATCCATCCCCCAACCCTGATATTCTAAAATGACTGAAACCTGCAGTAAGTTAAAATAAGAAGGACTGGAGAGATGGCTCTGTGTTAAAAGTACATATTGCTCTTGCAGAGGACCTGAGTTCAGTTCTGAGCATCATGTCGAGAAGTTCCTGCAACTCCAGCTCCAGGGGATCTGGCGACCCCTTCTGGCCTGCTCAGGCACCTGCACATACTTTCACACACAGATACATACATATCATTAAAAATAAATCTCAAAAAAAGGAAAGTTAAGCAAAAAAGTTTTAACATGTGTAAAATGCTGCGATTGCTTGGATGAGAAATGCTCCCCATAGGCTCAGATATTGAACACTTGGTCCCCAGTTGGTGGCACTGTTGTCAGAGGAAATAGAACTTTTAGGCTCCAGGCCATGCTGAAATACAGGATGGACGATCAGCAATGCCTTCCAAGAAAATCGTTCAGAGACAAGGGATGAAGTTGTCAAACAAGACAACGACGCACAGGAATGAAGAAGGGAGGGAGGGAATGAGGGGAGAGGGAAAAAATGGAGTCAGTTGTGCCAGACCTTCCAAAAGTAAGTAAAGCTGAGAGGTTACAAACAGGTTTTTTTCTATTAAATATTTATTTTATTTTATTTTATGTGTATAGTTTTTTAACCTTTATTTCTATTTTATGTGTATGGGTGTTTTACCTGCATGTTTGCCATGTGTATGTAGTGGTCATGGATACCAGAAGGGGGTGTGCTGAATCCCCTGAGACTGTAGTTACAGTAGTTGTGAGCCACAACGTGGGTGTTAGAAATTTAACCAGATCCTCTGGAAGAACAACCAGTGCTCTTAATCACTCAGTCATCTCTCCAGTCCCTTATGAGGATGAAACTGTACCATGGGTGTGTAGAAGGTCCTCAGGGGTGAGGAGAGGGTGTTGGGTCCCAGTGAACTGGAGTTATAAACTGTCGAGAGCCACTAGACAGGCAATGGTTCTCAGCAGACGGAAAAAGCCACAAGCTACATCTCTGGTCCCCAAGGTGACCTCACTAACCAGATCCCTTCTGACTTCAGCTTCTACATGTACTTTGCTTATTTCTCCCAGGTACAGACATATTTCAGGATTTTCTCATGAGTTCTGTGATAGACGGCAGAGCAATCCAAGGCCCTCAACATTGAGGAGTGGGCAAGAAAGACAGAGGGCATTCTGCCAGTGTAACAGGAATAAAAGAACCCCACTCAGGCTGAGGAGAACCCAATACCAGCCAGCACCTTCTCCCAGGGATGGCCTCTCGTGGCTTCTCTCCCAGCCAACCCTTCACATGTGTATCCCTAGCAACAAGAAGTTAAACTCTTCCCCTTCCCAGTTCTGCTGAAACTCTAAATAAGCCAGCCTCTGTTTACCAATTCCTATCTGGGGGAGGGGGTGACAACAGGACACCTCAGACTCAGGAGCAGCTTGGAAAATGAAGACTCAAGAGCTCTGTGCTCTTTCACTGGGTCCCGATTGCAGAAGAGTCTTCTCCATCTTGAAAGAACTGAGCTTTCATTAAGTTTTTAAAAAATGAGTTATTATTGTTTGGGGTGCATGTATGTCACCATACACATGTAGAGAACAGGGGGCAACTATGTAAAGTTAGTTCTCTCTACCCACTTTTATGTGGGCTCCAGGGGTCAGATGAAGGTCGTTAAGCTCGAGCGATAAGCATTATCTCTGATCCATCTCATTGGCCTCCCTTTTAAGCTTTTTATTGTGACTTTGATTGAATGATGTACCAAGGTAACACTTATCAATCATCTCAAACGCCTTTATATTTTTCAAATATCTCCAAATCAAATTCTAAAAACTCTTGAGATTTCTGGAAGGCACCCAAAAGTTCAAGAGACCTGTATTTGTCTAACTGTATTATTAGTATGTGTTCCAAAATGATAGGAGATTCCTAGAATCAGATACCTCTTGTAAGTTTTCAGTCATAATTGTAATGATAATGTTGACTTCATAAGAAACCCTCAAGAAATACAGTATTTCACTTTATATCCCATACTGGCCTTAAACTTGCAATCCACATGCTTCCCAGTGCTAGGATTAAATCGTCAAACCTGGCTCCACATCTGCCATCATATAATATCTAAAATGAATTCTCACAGTGCAGTCCCAGATTACGGAAAGCAGCTCTACTATCAAACTTCAGCAGCAAGGAGCCCTAGGTCTCCCATATACCTCTGAGCTCTCCACTCATCTGTCAATCACGTTCATAAGATTACCAATTCAACACGATTCACAGGCTGGAGAGATGGCTTAGCAGTTAACGGCACTTCCTGGTCTCCCAGAGGACCCTCAGTTCAGTTCCCAGAACACACACTGGGTCTCTCACAACCACCTGTAACTATAGCTCCAGGGATCTGACGCCCTCTTCTGGCCTCCATGAGCTCTGCACTCATGTGGCTTACATTCACACACACACACACACACACACACACACACACACACACACACACAC